GAGAGAAATAAAATGTCAGTGAAACGCACTACGGAATGGATGGGGCAAAGAAGTATCCTCGAAAATGGCTGCAGTCGTAAACCAAAATGCCAAATGAAAACGAAAGGAAGACATTAAAATGGCTAAAACAAAGGCTATATTGGATTAAGTTTCGAAATATAAAAGCAACTGCATTCAACTTGTTGACGGAATGCAAACAGACAAAATTCCAAACTATTGACTCCGGAACGGGTCAATGTGTGACCTTACCCCTTGATTGCTGGATGATGACGACGGTGGTGATGGGGATAATGACAAAAATAAATATTTTTCAAGGACTTGTGAGTTTTAATTTTGTTGCTAGAATATTTGTATCCACGATAGATGAATGTCAAGGCAAATGATTTGTAAGATGGGGGCAGTATGTTCCTCGCAAACGCTGGCGTCTTCCTACAAGTCCATTTGGTGTTATAACAAAAACAGCAGCGGCGTCTTCACTGTAGAAAGAGCCTTAAATTTCGGAGATTTGTAACTGGGTGGCTAGTCGCGGTTTTGTCATTGTGAGAACTTGCTTCAGTCACAGGACAGGAGTTTTGATGGACAAAGTGGTATTCCCGCGTCAATCATCATCCGACGCGAGCATGTCGCCATCCAAATTCTCAGAGTCTGTTCCAGAAGACTTATCTGAGATCAACACCGTCAAGGGACTCCGTCTCGCTCTGCTCCTATCATCATCAGAACCAGACTGGCTGTAGTTTGATTTCAAAATAACGTAAATAAATATTCTGCCACATAATTTTCGTGTCACTCGTGCCCGTTCGGTTTGCTCTGATGGAGCACTTAGCTGTAATGTAATGGATTCTCCTAGGAATAAGGTGATAAGAATGAGAACAATTTTCTAAGAGTCACGAGTTCTCTCCTGCCAATGAATACTGTATGATGTCAAATTCTATAAAACCTTTGTTTTGATGTCATTTTAAGCGGGCTTTGCATAAAAGATGGAAGAGTTTGTTCATATTCCGTTCGTCAGTGTCATCATCACACTGGCTGGGTGGATTCTGAGAGTAGTTCATATAATAAACCCTTGCTAAAATTTACTGAGGTCAGCGTAAAAGGGGTATAAATAAAAAAATGGAGGGAGCAAAATACAGCTTTTGTAAATTTCCCAAAAATCATGTTTATCGATATTTAAAAAAAATATAATTTTGATTTTACGATTTAGACATGAGAATAATGCTGAAGTGGTAATTTTGCAATGTTATAGGTATAATGAAGCGTGGGCCCTAAACCAATCATATTTCAGTTGTAGGTTTTGAACTTATAGCCCCTTTGTATATAATATTTGTTTTGATGAAGAGACCGAACTGTAAGAAAGAGGATTAGTTGTGTTATGGAATGTAGTGTCGATATTTAATTTTTTACGTTGCTTTTAACCCCACTTCCGAAATGAAACTTTAGACAGTATGCTGACCAAATTCCACCCCATTCTCAACGAATTCATAATGCAGGAACCGTTCGCCCGATGACTGACATCGTGCTAGGTGGGCGGCTTCGAGTGAGTCTGTCCGGAGATGTTGAAATTGTTGTCAGCCGCGGGAAGGGGAGAACTCCGAAGTGTAACATTAG